GCTTGTGAAAAGTTCTGCTCAAGTCTTGGCTATTGAACAGCGAAAATCGCAGGTCTCTATCTCATTCCTATCAAAAGTTATTCAAAAAGCAACCGAGTGCCAACCATTTTGAAACGGAGAGTAGATACTTGTTCTAAATAAACCGCTTTTTCAATTAAAGTGAACTGTTTTTTTGACTTTAAGCCGAGTTGTCTGATGAGCCGTGCGCTTTACCAAAGTCGAAGAACCCTTGCGTGAAATGTTGGAAATATAAACACACGTAAACAGAAAGATAAAAGAATAAACGGAAGAAGTAAAATCACGCATTATTTTTTCTCATCTCGATATCTTGAAACGCGTTTGCGTACTTTCTAAGAAAAGAATTTTTCAAAAAAATTAAATAAATCGTTTAATCAAAGAAATCGATTTATCAAAGAAAAGTTTACTCTTTACCAAAAGTCAATTTGGAACTTCTTCCACCTGTCGCTTCACAGTATGAACTAAATCAGAATCTTAACCGTGTTTTACCGGTTTCACTCTGTATTGGCTAAAGTATTCGTTTCAATGAAAAAAGGGTTTAAAAAAATACCTTGTTTTTGCCAAAATATCCTTATTTGCGATATCCTTATTTCATTCTTGACTACGTTTTCTGTAAAGTTGTTATGTTTCATTTAAGTCGACACAGTTTAACGCAATAATAATGAATACTAAGTTCATTTAACTGAAAAATATTTCGTGGATAACAAAATCGGATTTTCTCCGCAAACTCAGGATCCAGCAGCACGTATATACTGAAGTGTAGAAAAGATCCTTTTACACAACTCTACCATGAGACAATTTTCCATAGTTACTGTGAACTAAAAACTTTAAATTGATCAGAGTTATGGATTTACGGTTTATTGATCATAACATATTTTTACACACTTTTTTAAAAGTTTTGTATTATGTCAGGTCCTGATGAAGCCCGAGTAGCAGCTTATGTATCTCAGACAGCGAAGCGGAGTCGCTTTCGAACGGTACATTAACCAGAGCTTATTCATTTATGATGTTTCATAATTTATAACTCTCATAATTTATGGCTCTGTGAGCGGATAAAATCCATAGTATAGAGTCAGTAAACAAACTGGTGAAAAACATTTACAATGACTCTTTAAAGATTCTACGTTTCACTGGAATAATAATGAAAAAACTGAAAAGAAAAAGACGTAGTGTTCTAAGGTGTGAATCTAAATAAGGATATTGCACGCATGTTTTAAATAATCTTGTGAATTCTTGATTAGTAAGCATTTGATCATTAATCTCAGTTTGAGCTTCTTGTCTGTCTGTTTGATGATTCTTACCTAGAAGTGGTCTCTGATTCTTCATTTTGGGCTTGTTTCAAACATGAATTTTGATAGATATTCGCTGAAGTTATAAGATCATCTCGTTACAAACAATAAAAATAAAATTGTTTTACTTTGTACATAAGACGCGCTGATAGCGAGATTTATATGTACATACATTAGCTCATTATGTAAAAGAGCAAAGATTTTCTTATCTATTATCAATTCGAAGCCTCTTGCCTTGAACCAGATACTCCCCACTCTTGTAAAGGGTGCGAGATTCTACAGTAGCACCGCTTCTTTCTCTAATGACCACTCATTACCATACATTGTAGAAAGAAAATAGTTTTGGTTTCCTTTGATAGCCAACTTCTTCATTAACTCGACATTAATACCAATAGTAACTCCTAATAATTAAGCACAAAGACTACTGTCTACAATAAAAGACCGAATAGTTCAAACGCCGATAGGGACGTGATACTTTTGTCTGTAATGGAGCAAATTTTTGACGGAGTCGTTTCAAGTAGTCTACACTATTTAGGAAAACTATAAGAATTTTCATAAGTATAGATAGTCAACTCTTATGAAAATTTTATTAAATCTTGGATAAGTCTTATAAAATGTTTATAAGATTCGGATTTTGAGTATATTATCGATTATGTAACATTGTATAACCTCGATTTGTTCATCTTGTTTTTCATACTTTAGTGAAAATAAGAAATACATATACACACACATTTTTTTATGCCATAGCGTTGAAAATTATAATTATATTTCTTATATTTTAATCTCTTTTAATACTTGTTTTTTATTGAAATTAAACGTTATTCCTATGCAAGTATTATATATGTTCTCAATATTATTTTCTCATGTAACACATGCACTTTATGTCAAGGTTTCAAATTTAATTGTTTTTTAAATTAAGTAAGCTAATTGTTACATCTACATTGGAAAGCTTGTAGAGTATTGATAGAAATATATATACAATGGCATATAGTTATTGTGAGAATTAAAAAGAATACCAGTTGAAAAAAATTACATGATGCTGCTTCATCTGCTCATTTTTAGCATCATCGCTACAGTCACATCAAAAAAGAGCTACGATGGGTAAGTTATTAAATATAAGAAGTTGAAAATGAGGATAATTTGGAATTATTTTTATTCAGACACATTGTCATCTCTGTAACGCCATTTGAAGAGTCACATTATAAACTTTTATCAGCGTTAGAAGAACGAAAAGAGGTAGATATCACATCTTTCTTTATAAGGAATGCTAATTATATCGTTTCTAAACTTTAGATTGATATTTGGAATGAAATTCGACGTAATGCATCCGTAGATGTTATGATTCATCAAAAAAATAAAGCATCATGGATGAAAGTATTTGCTTCTCTTGGCATGAAGCCATCGATGGTTATTGATGATGTTCAAAAGTAAGTACCATTTATCCACCATTGAAAGCAATCTCATTGTAAGGTTGTGTTATCAGATTGTTGAACAGTGAGCAGCAAATGTTAAATATTCAATCACGATCAGGTATCCGAGGAGTTACTGATACTTTTCTGACTTATGATGAGGTATACTAGTTATTATCGTATTAAATACTCTGGTCGTTATCTATCCTATTCTTTTCATAAAATAAGATCAATGCTTATTTGAAACAAATGGAAAGTGAATATCCCGGTTTGGCGGCCGTTCAATCAATTGGACTAACAGTCGAAAATCGTAACCTAAACTTGATCAAGGTAAATACTTTTACTTTAAAACTATATATCGGTGTGAAACAGTTTATACAATACTGATATACTGTATAATTAAAAATAAACTTCACATATTATTTAGATAGGATCGCCATCAGCTCGTCGAAATGCTTTTCTTGATTGTGGTATCCATGCTAGAGAATGGATTTCACCAGCTACATGTTTATATATGATCAATGAATTTTTGACGGGATATTCTAAAGGTGGAGACGCCAAACAAATTCTAGATACTTACACATTACATATTCTACCCCTATTGAATCCTGATGGATATGCCTATTCGCATTCTAGAGTAAGTGTCAAGGTTATTTTTATAATTGAAAAGTCTTGAAACTTTTTTATCATAAAGGATCGTATGTGGAGAAAAAACAGAAAACCTGTCGGTAGCAACTGCTTTGGAGTAGATTTAAATCGTAATTTTGGTTATATGTGGAATACAGGTAGATGATTGTTATCAAGAATTTTATACTTGACAATAACACACCGTTCTTCTAGGAGGTTCATCAGCTTCCCCGTGTTCAGACACATTTCATGGTGGTGCTGCAATGAGTGAAAACGAAGCCAAAGCAATGCAATCATACATGACCAACAAACCATGGGACACTTATTTAACATTTCATAGCTATGGACAATGGTGGTTCACCAACTGGTATGTTTTTCAACTAATATGTGTTTATAATCAATGAATCTCATATCATTTATGAGAAAAAACATCATGACACTTTATCTATATTTTTCTCCATTTAGGGGTTACACAAACACCCTTCCTCCTGGATATACTGAGTTAGTAAGTATTCAATATAAAAATAGAACAGTAAATTTTTAATCAAAAATTGACGATTTAGGTTGCTAAAGCTAAAATTGGTGCCGATGCACTCAGAAGTGTTAATGGTCGAAGTTATACCATTGGTTCATCCGCAGTATTATTATGTATGTATCAACGATTAATATACACATATTTAGATATTTTAACGTTATGTATTTCAATTTTCATTCTAAGATGTTGCTTCTGGCGGATCTGAAGATTGGACAAGAGGTGCATTAAATATTAAATATTCCTATTGTCTTGAATTACCTCCAACAGGTGGTACTGGATTTATTGCACCAATTAGTGAAATAAAGAAAACTGGTGAGTAGCATCACAATAGTATTAATCGTCATTTTTATTATCATAAAATTTGTTTGCTATTTTTTTCTTTAAAGGTGCCGAAACATTCAAGGGCGTGTGCGAATATCTCAAAGCAATATAATGATTTAACAAAACATTTTATTGTTAATAGTAGAAAATTTTGCTCTAAACTGCTAAGAATATTTTTTTACTTAAATTAAATAAATAATCGAACACAGTCAGTAAGATAATACCATGATAACCTTTATCAATTCTATTTGGGTAAAACTTTTGTTCTCTAAAAAGATAAAATAGAGTATTTCTGGATCACATCGCAACTTTCTCACTGATTTCTAAAAGGAATATAATGACAAAATTCATGCAATTTCGTATTCGAAAAAAATTTTTCTATAAAAATAAAATAAGTCAAATAAACTGAGGTTATATAAATGTCTTTGAAAAAACGGTTGTGTGAATCGTATGCATCTGTTTTATTGTGCCACTACTGTGGTCTCTTGCTGTTGTTGTGGCTGATTAATTTGATTATTTGAATTTTCTTCCACTCCACAGGACATCTGATTGATATCACACGACGATACTGAACATAAATGAGGTGCTGGTAAGAATGGAAATTTATTTCGTGTTTCTTGATCAATAACATCTGGCACTTTGCCCAAATAAAAATAGGTTCGTGGAATGTTTGAACGTTTAAACATGTCATATTGAATATCCAGGACATCACGAGTAGAGGGTAAACGTGGTGCACTATTAAGTGTATTACGATAATTAATATTTTTATTAATAGCATTTGTTTTATCTAATGCTGTACTAAATACTTTTGGTATACCAACTCGTTTTGCTTCTTTATAACTTTCACACGGATGTATATGATATCTATCGGTGTATTCACTTTAAGAACAGCAAAACTAAAGAATTAAGAAGCTAAATCAATTTAGAACAGGAAATAGTTACCTCATATCTGGCATTGTTCGTTGTCTTTGTAACTGATGTGTTTCTTCTCCTTTCTTTCGACTTAGTCCCCAGGACGTTGGTTCTGCCAAAAGTGGATAATCAGTTTTTTCAGGAACCCACCGATCATTCGCTACTTCCCATCTTCTATTATGTGGAAATTGTTGATCAATCGGTCTTGGCCGACCATTATAATGTTCATCATACCTGTATCATATAAAAATACTTAATATCTAACGTATTTCTCTTTAAAATTCTATTTATTAGCTACATACCAAGTGATTAAATTTTTGCGATCATCAATGTCGTGATGACCAGTAAGTAATTTTGCTGGACGCTCTTGTTGTGCTAACAAGAGTTTTCGACGAAGAACAGTGTCAGGTCGAGCATCGGGATGACCGGGATAATCGATTCGATAAGTAGTGTTGTGAAGGTAACTTGATTCTTTGTACTAAAACAAAAAAGATAATTAATCGAATTATATGCGGCTATCCTAGTAAAAATCCTAGACACTTCTTAAAATTACCTTAGTAATATCTTATCTTTTAAGATCTTGGTAAGATATTCTAAGATCTTAATAAGATTTGATAACTCTACTTTCATTCACCTTTTTGTTTTGCTCTTATGCATCTATATAAGTAACAACGTAAACATAACTGAATTTTACGATATCTTTCTTCTTCCAAACTCTGCTAGTACTTGTTCTCTTGAAAGTATTATGTGTTATGTTAAAATATAAAATTTCTTTTCTTCTTCAAATCTGTTCAGTTTGTAGTTTGAACAGTGTCGACGGGATATTCAAAAATGCTTAATGAATCGTGAATGAATGAATGTTATTAAAAAGCATAATAATTCTCACCATTAAGATCCTAATTTAGTCTCAGCCGATCTTGAAAAAGTTTTAGACAAAATAATCTATATCTTAGTAAAATCTTAGAATAATCTTATTAAATCTTATCAGATCTTGAAATTTTCGAGTCTTACGATCTCAGTAAGATTTGTCTAAGTTTCTCACTAGGGATGGATATTCCCTTTTTCTTACTTTTGAGCGATCTTCAAACCAATTGTTGATCAATACATCGGTACCAAATTGCCTTTTTCCCCGAAATTTTTCGGTATGTAAAGGAAGAGCAGGAACGCTAAAATATTAAAAAATGATGAGAGTTATTTTAGTGGGTTCATGTATATTGAGGATTAACCAAAAAAAGCTGATAGTGGCAGCTGACATGCTAAATAAATTCGGTGTAAAAATGTAATCGGATTATAAACTACTAACTTACTTGCAATACGTTCCATCCATAGGATTAAAAAATCGATCACTCGACCTCATTTTCACTGTCTAAGATAATCAGAAACAAATATGGAAGATGAGTAGATATGAATAATTACGTTCTATTTTCAACAGCGAATCAATACAAGTAATCCATTGAAAGACGAAGACGATATATATATCTATTTTTACCGCTAAAGCACACAGGAAAAAAAACGATATTACGTCAAAATTCAATACTTTAAAAAGTTACAAAAAGAGCTTTCAACATTATTAAAAAAATTAACGTTTATGCAAACATTGGTGATTTAGCCTTTAAACTAATGACAAAGTAGAACAGTAACAAATATTGCGTAATATACAAGATTATAATATATATTAACTATAGAAAAATAGAAAATTCTTTTGTGTATAGATATTAAATAGGATACACGATTTCCTGAATAAAATCTTACATATATAAACAAGTGGTGTATTGAATTATCTGAAAAATTAGTAAAAAACAAGGCATTATGCAGAATTGTCAAATTTTACACTTTGTTTTTGTGAACGATAGGATCGTTTAGTTTCGAGGCGAGGCACTTCACTAATGGTATGTATTTCTGGTTGACGACGATATTTTGATGTATCATCACTGTCGTCATAAGATTTTCTCTCTGTATATGTTTCTCGTGCACTGAGTACACGATTCGACGATACATAGCCACGATGACCGCTATGAATTAGTTCACCATACCAATACAATGGTGTTTCTTTATTAATTATTTGTATTTTATCATTTTTAGAAAATGATAATTCTTCTGGTCGTCGAGCTTTATAATCTGTTGTGGCATAGACAACTAAGCCATTTTCATGATATGGACTACCATTTAAAGTTGAACTAGTAGCAGAAGCTGGACGAACAGGATCAGGTGAGATCAAACCTTGCAAAGGACTAATAACAGGTGGTGGAGGACGTCCAGAACCAATATCGGAATAGTAGCCAGACGAAAATACACGATTATCTTTATTGTAAGCTGATTGATCCCTTGCGTAACTATCGTTTATTACTACATTCGGCACAAACGACGGAGGTCTACTAACATTTAACGTGTTTCGCGAAGAATTTGGCCTTGAAATCTAAAAGAAGAACAGATATATTTAAGACCAGTATACATATACTTCATTTATGCATTTATGTTCCTTCTATGATGATAGAGTATCTAGATACTCTAAGACCTAAACTTACAATAACTTGATCCATTTGATCAAGAATCTTATTTACAACAGCTAAACGTCGACTTTTATCATTTCTTTTTCCTTGTTGATCGGTAGTTGAACTTCTCTCTGTGCCTGAATGCGTGTCAGACATATAACGAGTATCATCATGACGACTTGTACTACGACTTCGTTGACTACTCGTTGGAAATTGCGGATGTTCATTATCAGACATCAGTATTTGCCTTCCTCTGTTGCTTTCATCAGTTTGAGCGAGTCGAAAACTGTTTTGCATCCCAGTTGTACGATGTGTCGATAGTGCTGTTACTTCAGGAACGGGTTTGGCTTCGATATCCGCTTCAGAAAATGTATGTTGAAAAATATAAATTTGATGTAATGGACCAATACTACAGAATGCGATGATATTATCCAACGGATGAAATGTGACCTACAAAAATACAGTAATATGTGTGAAATAGCCCATACGACAGATTATTTTCACTTACATCAGTAACAGAATTGGTATATTTCAAATTTTTATATGTATGTAATAGATTACCGTTATATGTATGCCAACACTGGACACTTCCGTCCTCGGAACCACAAAATACTAGTGTGCCACACGTCGAAAAACATGAATTAATTCGATCTTGCATATTGTATATACCAGAATATCGACGTGATATTGATTTCCTATTTGATAGATGATATCTGCGTCATAAGGTGAAAACATTATCATTTCTACGTACCACTGAACATCTATTAACATCACATGATTGTCTCTTGCATTGACTAATAGATAATTACTATCTGGTGAATAACTGACACAGTTCAATGGAATATTCTACGAAATAAATATTCTTATATAGAAGAAAAAAAACACTTATACTTCGCCTTTTATGAATACCCACCCCAATAACATCAATACTTTTGTCGAATGTCCAATTGTCGAATGTGACTATTTAATTAATAGCTCATGATGTAACATGTTTGTTTATTAAAACACAACTTACTCGTTGTTGCCGTATGTTCGTTTTGAATTGCATTCCAAATTTTAATCGACCCCACGCTATCAACACTAGCTAGTTTTGAACCATCCAGATTAAACGACAATGAGGAAATATAGCCGAGGTGTTCACTCAGTGTATGCGTAACCTAAACAATATTAATTTGATTCGTACTTTTCTAACACCATATAGAGTTTTAGTGAGTGAAACAAGTTCAAGAGGTGAAGTATAATACGAACCGTTCCATGTTTTTTTTGTATATCCCATATTCGAATTAATTTATCATAACCAGCTGTAACAACAACTTCTTCGATATATGGATGAAACTGTACACAATAGACATAATTTGGATGTGAGAGAGTTCGCCACGGTTTGCGTTGAATATTTTCAAAATTCCATATTCTAGAAGCAGTTAGTTCATTTACCATTTAACTGTATTCGCAAAGAACATGTGTTCACCTACTTTACAGACGAGTCGGCTGACGCGGATGCTAACCATCGATCTGAACGAGACCAATCAATATGATAGATCAGTTGTAGATGACCAGAAAATATTGTCACACGCTGGCCACGAGGCAACTAGAAAAATAAGAAACTTATTTACAAATAACGTTATTTATCTTCACAAAAAGATAAAAAAATCACTTTACCTCATAAATTGTTATAAAATTATTATCTTGAGGTTTTGATACTTCAGCACAAGCAATAAAATATCCATTATGAGAAAAACGTATAGTTGAGCAACCGCGTTCACTGCCTTTTAATGATAGCAAAGATTCTAGCGGTATTTTACATTTTGAATTTGGTAGTTTTTGCCATCGTTGCGGTAACTGAGCAACTCTTTGTAATGGACCACCAACACTAATGTCAACTGGTTGAGCGTTTTCAGATGGATTTTGGAAGTTTGTGTTAAGCTGTCTGGGATGTAAAAATATCATGAGCTTAATTATAAAAAATCAAATTTTACAAAGCACCATACCCTTCAATATCATTTCTCAAAGTCATATATTCTTCTCTAATATCTTCAATATCACCAGCAATAGCAGAACGAAGTTTTGGTCGAAAATATTTCGGTGGTACAATTGATTTCACAGTGACATATAATGTAGATGGATATTTTCGACGGTGTGTCTGGCTATAAGCCATATAAACCTATAAAAAAAGAGAAAAAGTCTTTGATTGTCTCAGATCATCGCCGTCCTACAATATCCTAAAGACTAACATCTGGCGTATGTGGATTTGTGCTGTGGATGAAACTTGGTTCCCATAATTGTAAACGTAATGTATGCTCTGTGTTCAATGCGTTTCCAGTACCCACAATCTAAAATGTATGTTTATTTTACACATAAACTATACTGAGTTACAATTACATTGTTTACCTTTAAGAATGCCCATGCAATTGGAAAGTAGGTCGTGCCTGTTGCATCTAAACTCGCTGGGCCCGTTACAAATTCCAGAATCTGAAAACATAATCTAAACGTGAGAAAAGTCTCAATCTTTTTACGATCTTCGACATACTTCAAAAAACAGCATAACTTTTGGTCGATCCGCTTTTATGAAATGGCTGTATTCTTCGTTAAAAATCAATAACTCATCCCAACTTGGAATCGTCGAACTAAACAGATGGAAAAGTAAAAAAACCATAAGAATAGCTTTGCTTTTAACACAAACAATCAAGACGTTGTACAATTTTTTAGCTAAAAAATGGTAGCAAGAATATCAATATATTACCGGTTTTCATTAAAATCGTAACGCTGCGAGTTAATGGGCATTATATAATCACTAAGTGGTTCATCGATGATATGATAACTAAGCACTTTACGTTCTCTAAAATAAGCATCACTTCTAGTGCCATCAAAAAGATTTGTCGACTAGTAGCTAGCCTTACGGATCTGTTTTTCGCACGAAATTCGTTGTGTCTAAATCGACTGCGCTAACACGCACAATTGGATGGCGTAACCGTAAATCTGTTTGAAGGCGATCTGTCTTATGAACAGTAATTCCTAGTATTTTGTGTTCATTTGGATCCGTTACTAGAAAAAAAGCGTGTAAGTATTACAGTGTTAGTCATGAATAGAATAAACATTTTTAAAAGAACATACTTATAGGTCCTAGATGATCTCCCAGTGCACGACGTTGTTTTCGGCCACTTGGTTTTCTCACTGTCATTTCAACTTCGTCTCCTTCACGAGACTTAAACGTTTTTTTTTTACTTTTCTTTTGTATTTCACTATGGTTAGACACAGTGGCTCTATGGACAAAACAGATAAGATAACTTGATGATTTCTCACGCCAAGATAATACTGTGGCATATGGATAGACATTTCTGACCTGCAATTAGTTCAACTCTTTTCCAAATTCTTTATTCAGCTACTCTAAAGCCCGACTACCTTGAGATTTAAAAAGCTTTTTTTCTCACAATGGTGGTAATTCGTGATTTCTCCCAACTCGTTTTTGTCTGTTATCAGGTGATTTAGATTTCTTTCGTTGGTGTATGTGTGCAGATTGTATATCAGACTCTAAACAAATAATACTAACTATTTTCTAATCATTTCTTTCCTGCAGCGTAAGTGATGCAAAAAAAGATAAAAAAGACACGACGAACCATCGCGAGAAAAAGTCCGAATTTGCATATCGTCACTCGCAGCTGAATTCGTTCTTGCTCTTCTTCGCGCACGTCTTGCACGTGAAAGTGTATCATCAATGAGTTGTTCATTTTGACTATGATAATCATGGCTACTATCATTCTTAAAAATAAAGACAAAAACAAAAATGTGATTTAGATATGACCAAAAATACTAGCAACTTTCTTACTCCTCTTTCTTCAGTTTTGCTCATTTTTTCTTTAAAAACCGGTTTTCCATGAGTTTTCGATTTTTCTAACCATTCTTGCTGCCTCTTCCATTTCTCTAACTTTTCTTCTCACGACTACCATTATGAAATCGCTTATCAATATTTGCTATGTAACACCTCTACAGTTTTATCCTTTATATAAGTGATTTGATAAAATATAGTTTCAAACCATGCTTGATAAAGAAAAGATAAAGCGTCTAGAGAAAATAAGAGCATAATCAATCATTTGAAGAAGCGCCACAATCGCTTCACTAGTGCGATGATTTAAACAACGTTTGACCGTTTTTTTTCCTTTAAATCATAGTATCATTTTCATAACGATCTTATGGTGTTGCCATGAAACAGTTTTGTTCTAAAGCGAGTTGATCTATTATAAGATCAAAGTTAGTTGTTCAAGAAACGAATCGCCATCAAGTTTATTAAAATTATTGTATGATCTCAACCACCGATTCAAATAAAATTTAATTTCAACTTTTTTTGTAAAACCATAAAAGACGATAACACTTGAAATTGTCAAGTTTGCAAATTTTAAGAGTAGCAGCTCGTTTTACACTGAATAACAGTAGTTTTACTATATTATTAATAACAGAGTGAGGTAGTTCTTCAAGTACCAAAACAGTAGCAATGCTTCACATACGTCATTTGTCAACGTAGGGTGATCATATTTTTGTATAATTGTAAAGCACATTAACCCCAGAAAATATAGCAAAAAGGACTGCACTTGTTATTCAAGTTCATTCTGCTGTGTATATTACATTAGCGTCGGCTTATTTTCATTGTATTGGATGTTTCCATTCAGGTCCGCCTACCATTAAGCGACATAAAAGCCGCAAAATTGTCGATACTCCTTTCGTGTAGGATATAGGCTTGTATGTAAATCACATAAAAGCCCCTAACTCTCCCGTGCAAAAGTTATATCCCACATGCCTTTTTAGGGATGTCAAGTTTCGACCTTCCCTCGAATAAAGCCATTTCGACCGTGTTTTATTCTGCAGCGACAGAGTTTACACCGCCGTTGGACATACAAAGAGCAGCTCGAGTACTGGTATTAAAAACTTGTCATACTATACTCTTAATATGAGATTACGGCATTCAGTATTTTAGCTCTTGTGAACGCCAAACAAAACGAAAAGTTCTTTTATTATAGATGCAAATGAGGCTGAAGAGCTGCCTTATCTGATGGAAAAAGGATTAATTCAATACATATCGTCCTTTTTGAGTATGTCATCCATCTTTGAAGACCCTATTTTGGAAATAGTCAACTTTCGGTCAAAACACTAGAACGAGTTCAGAACTTTAGGATATGGTTAATTTTAGCCGCTAGACGTGATCATAACATCGAAAAAATGAAAAAAGGCGTGCTTTTTGTTCAAAGGCTTTCTAAGAGCCCTTTCAGAAATATTATACTTGTTTAGGGATAGAAATTTTAGAATTGATAAGTAGTAGCAGCAGCTGCTTTTAGATTCATACTTATTTAATAAACATTAAAATGAAAAGATTAAAATTTTTTTGTAAAAATAACGTCGACGTTTCGAAAATTTTCATTTTTATTCTCAAGACAATAGAGACATTTAACGTGATGTGCAGTTAAAACGAATATGACATTTCTTCAGTCTTGAAAATGAAAATGAAAATTTTCGAAACGTTGACTGTATTTCTACAAAAAAATTTTAATCTTTTAATTTTTATTTTTATTAAGTAAATATAAATCTAAAAGCAGTTGCTGTTACTATTTTATCGAATCCTTTTAGAAAGCCAAGGTTTCTCTAAATTATTTTTTATATATTTCTTATAAATAGAATAAAAAATAGTTTAAATACTGTATACGCTGAGGTTTTGAACTGTTTCTCGAGCGAATAGTGAATTTCTTGATATTAGGTGACAGCAGGTGGAAAAGCTTAATTTTCGACAAACGTGGCTTTCTCTAGATTTTAAAATCTTTTTCTAAAAAACATACTGCCACGAGACTTAGCATGATTGATTATCTATAGTCCACCCGTTATCGAGGTTACCAATAATCGGAGAGTATCAGTCGTTGGGACTGAAATATGTTTCCTAAGTTCCCGCTTTCGAATGGTGAAAACCGCAAATCTCTACCTCATTCTTATCAAACGTTATTCAGAAAACAATCAGGGCTCTTATAATCTGAAAAGGATAGTAAGTTAGATAAACTAGTAAGTTAGTAAAGCAGTTGCTGTTACTATTTTATCGAATCCTTTTAGAAAGCCAAGGTTTCTCTAAATTATTTTTTATATATTTCTTATAAATAGAATAAAAAATAGTTTAAATACTGTATACGCTGAGGTTTTGAACTGTTTCTCGAGCGAATAGTGAATTTCTTGATATTAGGTGACAGCAGGTGGAAAAGCTTAATTTTCGACAAACGTGGCTTTCTCTAGATTTTAAAATCTTTTTCTAAAAAACATACTGCCACGAGACTTAGCATGATTGATTATCTATAGTCCACCCGTTATCGAGGTTACCAATAATCGGAGAGTATCAGTCGTTGGGACTGAAATATGTTTCCTAAGTTCCCGCTTTCGAATGGTGAAAACCGCAAATCTCTACCTCATTCTTATCAAACGTTATTCAGAAAACAATCAGGGCTCTTATAATCTGAAAAGGATAGTAAGTTAGATAAACTGCAGCACCAAAAATGACCTATATGAAACAGTATAAGTGTTAAATTAATTAGTTCCAGAATTGAGAAATGAAATGAGCGTTAGCAGTATTTCGATTCTGTGTAATAAGAGTTTTCTACTGCATATGATCAGTAACCGTTTAACTGCAATACGATGTATCCAAGCTGCGCACTACCTAATTAGAAACTTATTGTTTTAATAACAGCAGCCAGTTTAAACTGACTTTAAACAAACTTAATTAACCTAATTAGGCTTAAAAGTTCACTTCGGATCTCAGGCCAGGTCCATGTCCAAGTCTCAGATTCGAAGTTAGGCTCAGGTTAGGTCAATGTCCAGATCTAAAAGCAATAGGTCCATGTCGCAGGTCTATTTTTTAGGCCCAGTTCCTATCAAGACAGATCTTAGTCTATACCTGACCCGAACCAGGCGGTCTCTGCATTTAATAGTTAATTATTAACCTGTACTGTGGGACAATAATCTACATACATAGACAATTATTTCCCAAATTTTTTGAGTCAAGGTAGTATTTCTAGACTGATTTATCAGAACCTAATTCAATTTCAAAAGCGACAGTCAATCGTGTTGTATTTCAGTAACCTCCAACAGTCGACGCATGGAATCTATACCTTGAGTAAGAGATAGTCATAACTATATTTTGGTGTCAAGATAAAGTATTAATGTCCATTAGATCAGTGACGGATTTAGAAAATATTTTCAATGCTGACGGATTTGTACAAAAGAGCAAGTTTAGCAACTTGACTTCGGAGTGGATGCAACTGTCTTACGCACTTTACTTTCAGAATGACGAATTTTCGCATCTGAAATTTTAGAGAGAGATTATTTATCCATACTGTTTTAGTCACAGTTGAATTTAAACAAGAGAGTTTATGGTGTTTATGAATAGGATGATGACTGTGTTTTGAAGGTACTGAACTATTATCCTTTTCTGTAAACGAGGTAGCTCGGCAGAATGCTTATCACATTTGAACGAAAAGTGACAGAGACATGCGGTTTTCACCTTTGGATAGAGAACGTCGGGAGACGTAAGCGTAAGTAAAAACTAGGCTTTCAGGTAAGGTTTATCATGGTAAGCCTTTCGATGTAAAGTCTACGAGACTGCCGTTCCTGGACCGTGCAATGGATTTTGATTTTCAAACAGTGCAATCGATAGTCTGAACCGAGATCTACAATTCTAGACCAGTCTGAACTCTCTATCTCTTACGATTCAGGAGCTATACGAGCCTCGATATCGGTCAGTTGACCTTGGGCGATCCTAAAATGGATCAAGATGGGGGTAATCGACCACGCTGAGTCGATTGATGATGTTTATTTTTTAGTTTCAAACCGACCTAAAGTCACTATATCAAGATTTTCGAAATATCCGCTCTATACGCAACATAGCGGTAGAATGTCTTAATTTAAAAATCTTGATATAGTGACTTTAGGTCGGTTTGAAACCAAAAAATAATCACCATCAATCGACTCAGCGTGGTCGATTACCCCCATCTTGCCCCATTTTAGGATCACCCAACGTCAACTGGCTGATATCGAGGCTCGTATAGCTCCTGAATCGTAAGAGATAGAGAGTTCAGACTGGTCTAGAATTGTAGATCTCGGTTCGGACTATCGATTGCACTGTTTGAAAATCAAAATCCATTGTAATCTACATACATAGACAATTATTTCCCAAATTTTTTGAGTCAAGGTAGTATTTCTAGACTGATTTATCAGAACCTAATTCAATTTCAAAAGCGACAGTCAATCGAAGAACTGTTGTATTTCAGTAACCTCCAACAGTCGACGCATGGAATCTATACCTTGAGTAAGAGATAGTCATAACTATATTTTGGTGTCAAGATAAAGTATTAATGTCCATTAGATCAGATAACGGTTAATATAAATCGTATGTTGCATCTTCGTATATACTTACTTGATTATCAGTTTTACGGTTAAGAAAACAAGAAGCTGTTATTTTTTAATCATTTATATTGTCATTTAAAATCAGATCTAACTACATTAATGCTTCATTTTCATTCATATATATTTTTCTGTTATTTAACAGTTGCTGACATTATTGACCATTATCACCATACAGGAATTAATCATTTAAACAAATTAATTTTTACATATAAAAATTTGTTTAATCAATTCGAACTAAAAAAAATATCTAACCTATTTCCTATTACCTACAATTGATAGATAGCGTGTGTAGAAGATATGATGAAACTTTGCATACTATACATATATATACAATGTGTGTATCTCATTAAAATAACATGTAAAAGTGCTTTAATATATATGCCCTATAGTAATAAATGTCTCAGTTATATTATTTAGACAAGATGGATCTGGTGAACACTATTATTATTGAACATTAAGTCAGTAGACATTTTTTATGTTCTCAATGTGAATAATTATATCATAATCGTGTGTTCCAATATAATTTTGATTTGATGTTTTGAACAAACTATTAATACAACGAAGACGCTTAACGTTCTTATTCCAAAAAAAAATAATTAAAAATAAAGTCAAGTGTTGTTTTGATTTAGAACTGTTTTGATGATTTTTAAAACAAAATATTTGTTCATCATCTCCTCATTATTAGACAATTATAAACAGTGACACAAGTTCATTGAATAGACAAGGCTATGTGTATATACAGATTAAGATATAGACTTATTTTTCTATTTTTTTATTTCTCTAAATAATGTTGTGCGAAATTTGTCTCTATTCGGTTTTTTTCCAATGATTTTTGTCTAAATTTTATCATAGAACAATAGAAAAATGTCTCTCGTATTTCCCTTTATTGATATTTTTCTTTTTAATATTGAAAAAATGCATACATAGTCATCATTTCTCTCCTATTAGTCACCTAGAATATTAATAATAGTAGTCATATATTTTGTTATTCCTAAAAAATGAGAAAAATTTCATATGTTTTCATTCAAAATTTTTTATTTTTCAAAATATTAGCTAAAAAAAACAAACAAGAAAAACTTATTTATAGGTTTGTCTAAAGTAGACATTTGATGATGTTATATTACTATTGGTATTTAGATCACCCCTTGTCATTGTGACATTTTTCAATCGTTGATTATAATATTTTTCACGATTTGTTGAATTTAAACGATTCATTATTTTATAATCATTCCATAGATCATTGATAACTTCACTAGTTAATAAATCGCTTATATTTTCAGATATTAAACGTAATATTAAAACACCATCCGAATTTAAATATTCAAATACAAAACGTTTTACTAACATATTTCGTTTAAATCGTTCTTTTTTAGAATATAAATCTAAATAACGTGCAATATAAGCATAATTAAATTGTCTAAATAAACAATGTAAAATAGTTAAAAATAAACTTTTTAAATTGTTTAATGATAAAAAAGCTAACCAAAACCAAATAATTGTAAATATTTTTTCATTAAATACATTCATTGGTAATAAACATTGAACCTGTGTAGAAGAAGAAAAAACAAAACAAAAGAATAAATATAAGAAATGAATATAGTTTGTTTGTTTTTTTTCATTTTTATTTATTGTTTTTTTTAATATACCTACAGTATATAATGTTGGTTGACCAACTTTTGGTATAGAAAAATCACAATAAACTGTTAATGGAAATATTCTTGATCCAACTACATATTCTCCATTTAAAAAATTAGTAATAACTTCTGCACCATAGATAAGAGCATTTTTTGTTAATAAAGTATTAAGAAAAAATAATTGTAACATTGAATTTAATAAAAATAATATTTTAACGATTAAAAATAAATTAGCTAAATAGTATCCATGAAAAAAATTTTCATTAAAAAAAAATAATGGTAAACAAAATATATTAAAAGATTTTAAAATATGATTAAATGATGTTTTAGATTGTATATTTGTACGATTAAAATCATAATATTTTGCTTTAGCTAATATTGTTAACATTGCTGTTATATGACGTACTTTATAACGACTTGTACGATAATCATAAGTTGGAGATAATATATGTTGAATATTAATACCACATCTTGAACTAAAATTTGACCATATAATACGTGGAATTAAAAAAAACATTGATTGAATAGCAAGTAAAATAGGTAACCATTGATAATAATAAATTGAACGTTGTCGTCTAATATCTGCATTGGGTGTTATGGGAATTGTCTCATTTATTGTTAAATAATATGTATTATGAACATAACAATAATGTCTTGTATATGAAACAAAATTTCCTAGAAAAAAAACATAACAAAGAAACAAAATTAGATATCTATATCAATTATTAGAAGAATTTTTCAAAAAAAAAAAAAATACAAAAAACAATTTAGAAAATATTTTATCAATTTTCAAAACTTAATCAAATTTTCTAATCCTATTTTTCTATTATAAATGTCATTTATATTTTTTGAAAAGTATTTGAAAAGTAAGTAGTCTGAAAAATTTGATTAGAATTTTAGTTTTTATATAAATAAAAAAATAAAAAAACATCCAGGTCTAAAAACTATTCATTAGTATTTGTTATTTTAATATAATACAATTATTAAATAGATCATGATCATTTAGTGTTTTTTTGAATAATTTATAATATTATCAAATTGAAATATTTTTGTGATCATAGAGATTGACATCTCTTCTTCTTCTTTTTATTTTTGTTTTTTTTTTTTTTTGTTTCTTTTTTTATTATCATTTTGAAGAGAGACTTTTGTTCTATTGTCCTAACTCCGAACACTCTTAATTAGAAACAAATTTAGCATAACTAAGTTGAAAACAGCAAGAAAAATAGCAATAATAACAATAATAATAATAATAATAATAATTACCCGTAAACTCGCCAGGCGTCCAACATATAATTAGATCATTTAAAAATAGCCTTGATGTTAATATAGCTGAAAATATTAATAATAGTACAACTGTTGAACGATGATTTAATCTATTTGAACCATCATCATCACTACATGAAAACCATGATAAACGTGTATGTCCAAGTTCAGTTATACGATGAACAACGTCCATTCTTTTGTATTTAATAACAATGAAATAATAATAATTTAGGTGTAAACATCAAAAGAGGAGGATGAGGGAACGGAATACCTCAAAAAGAAAATAGTTTTTTTCTGATAGATATGAACGACAAAAAAAAAAAAAAAGAAAAAAAGTGTGCTTAAGTGGCATTTCCGACTTGAAGATGATGTATGTATGTATCTTTATTCTTCTATTTTTCTTCTTCTTTTTTTCTCTATCTATCTATCTTTGTGACAAAAAAATTATGTATATTATACAAACATCTAAACTGATTTGGGTATTGTAATATCATCAGGTGCTATATAATAAATATCATTTGAGAGAGGGAGAGAAAAGAAGAAGAGAAAGATAGACAATGAACCATTATCAAAGGTCGTACTCCTAAAGCGATCGTTGTTCTTTAAACAAAGTCTTTTTGTCTTCTTTCTCTCGAGCATAAATGATTTTTCTATTTCCTTTTGTTTGGATTTTAACTATTATAAAAAAATATATATTTTTCTCTTATTCTCTCATTTCTCTCTCTCTCTCTCTCTCTCTCTCTCTTCTCCATTCTATCTACTAACTAACATTGATAGGTAAATATTATAAGATAGATTTTTTGCAATAAAAAATAAATAAATGTTCAAACATTATAGTCATTTTGATCTATGATCATTTATTTCCGGAGGATAATATACACATATTTGTTTACTTCATTTTAGTTCTATTTTAACAAGTCAATAAGAGAATTGTTAATATTAATTAAGTCTGATCATAAAAATCTTCTAAATATATCAATTTCTATAATTTTTTGGACTATTACACATGAATTAAAATCAATATTAAAAATTAACTATATAATTAAGATTAATCGAAATAATATAGAATTTTTTCAATAGAAAATGTCACATGTGTTTTTTATTTATACTATAGGCAATTTTATTGATACACGTGTACAGATTAACCAATGACTCTTAAAGTTCTATGTTGGTTAATTCACATACCATACAATATATCAAGTTTCCATCTTATTTGTTATATTAAGTATTTTGTTTCCGTTTTTATCTTCATTTATATATTCATCTACGTGTATTTCTTTTTTTATTTTTACGTTGTCCATGTTTTAGAATGAATAGATAAATAATAAAATCAGACGGTAGTTGTCCCATTTATGAGACACGCATAGATGAGGTCTTTATATGAAGAGATTTTTCTTTTTTATTACAATCAATACTCTACTCTAATTCTTTGAGGAATTATATTCTGTCTTATTCAATTAAAAAAAAATCATGCATTCACTATATCCTCTTTTTTTCTCCTCTTCTTTTCTGATAGTTAGAAGAAGAAGAAAAAAACCTATAACAATAGATAAAAATTTGCGTCTGAATGATTATTGTTGTTGTAATACTCTCCCATTAATTTAATGAACTATAAAATAAAAATTGGTTTGCATGTAGTTTTTCGAGTACGTTTATGTTATCTCATCAAGTTGACATGCAAAAGAGATTTCTTTTTTCTTTTTTTTTTTTTTTCTTCTCATTATTATTTATATCATCCGAAAAATCAACAGGGACGCGCAATGATGAGGACACTGCATACCGTTAAACGAACTAATTTTGATTTCCTCTGAAGGAAAAACATTATTTCCGTGTGCCATATTCATTCTTCATGGGTTAATTTCATATCCCATTGTTACAGTGACGACAATAGTAAAAATAGAAATTCTAGCGAGCTCGACATAAAAATATTATAGAGAAAAAAAGGTATATAAAATCAAAAATGGACTAGTTTCAATTACACAAAAGACACAAGATATAATATTAAGAAAAAAAAAGTATGAAACATTGAGAATGAGTTGTGAAACAGGCATATTAATCACTGGCAATAAAAACGATGTGTTTGTGTCACACGATGGCATATAAGTAATTGAAATTAACATGCGGTTCAGAGATAATAATTTTCTAATACTATTTCACCTTTATAACATCGAATATAATTTTGTCTGTTAAACAACCAATTAATGTAAAAAAATCCATATTTAACCCCATTTACTAATATAGGTATCTTAACAAAAAGAGAAATACAATTAATAAACGTGCAGTGATATTCAATGCTACGCACTTCTATGTAATTTGGGTTTAGTTTACAGATACTATGTGTCATCATACATGAAGATTATTTACACACATTGAATCCGACGTATTCTACAGTTTTTACAGTTAATTTAAATCTTGAATCAAGGCCATGTACTTTGTAAAAAACTTCATTTATATACAATAACAAATATTTTGAAGTTTTTTGCATTATACGAACATACCTTAATATTATTTCTAATAGTGTTCTTTCTTTATTTTAACTAATGATATTAAACTGGATTGAATCGACTTACAGAACTCTTAACCAGCGATAAATTTGAGATCTATCAAATCTTGCTGAAATATTTGATGTAGAACTAAAAAAAAGAAAGAGTCTTAACGATCGCTTGCACACTTTTAGCTTTTTCACGAAGTATGTTGATTTACGTATAGTTTTGTTCGTTGGACCAACAAACAAGACTATACATAAATCAACCCATTGATAATGTATCGGATACGTTATTAATCGTTGTATTTGTTTGTTAGACAATCCATGCAGTACATCAGTGTCTTTAAATATTACATTGCATTTTAGAATTTTCACAATTAGACCACAATTTCAATGACAGAGGTATCCATCTTTTTGAAATATAATCACAGAGTGTCACCTACTGTTTTTTATCTTGACCAAAGTTTGATCTTCACGCCTGAGATGGTCAAAACCCATTGTATGTAGAACATCTTCACCTAAAATAATATTAATCAAAAATTTTACTTTTCTGAACTTCATTATTTTCTAATGCGGCTGCAAGAGTCTGAGACGCCGTTGGCCTATAGTCAATTACACGGCTACGTCTCAAAAGAGATACAAATCCATATTTTTCAATGTATCTCTTTTCATCAATTAAAAAGTATCGAATATTTTTGGCAAGAAATAGCGTTTCTCAAAAAAGATATAATTCTAAATATAAAATCTCTCTTTTCTGAAACGAGATACATTATCTCTCATTTCTATATTCAAAATAAAAATTAAGTTAAATAAGAGGTACGAGTAATCAATATTATCTTAACCCTTTCTTGCCTCTAGTTAAACCTGAAGGTCTTGAACCAAAATATTATAGGGGTTATAGGTTATCGAGCATGCTGATGCCGAATATGACCATGGAGGCTTCCCATAGATCTTCGAAGATCC